AAGTATTTTTATGTATAATGGATGCTAAAAGTAGCGTAAAATACGTTTGTTAAGTTATTAGATGTCTTTTTATTAAAAGTATATTGCTGTGGAAATTTTAGGCAGGTAGGAGTGTTTTTTTTCTTTTTTACCTAGGGTGTAAAATACCTAAATACCTGTTGGAAGACTTCATAAAGTTGAAAATTCAAGGCTGTGGATAGTATTCGTTATTTTATCAGCGAAACGAGTCATATATAAATTTTATTTTTATTCTGTAGCTAAAATGAACACTTAAAAAATATATTCACGATAAATCTTTTTCTTTTTCTAAAACACACAGAATTCGCAAATCTTTGACTTTTTATTTTCATTGAAAATCATTTGCTGTTCTGTCATATCAAAAAACAAAATAAATTAAGATACTTAAAAAATGTGATTAAATTAAACGTTAAACTGAAAACTTATAATATTTGTACTTTTTTAAATTACGTACAAGTCTTTAGTTATATTGATATTGTAATACGTGTTTGGAAAGTATTTTTAATTTGAGAACATTTTTATAGTTTTATTTTGAAAAAGTATAATGAAAATTAACAATGTGTAATTATTTTTATTTTAATAGTGTTTGGCATAAGAATTTATAGGCAGTTGATAAATATAGTAAACTTTAAGGATTTGATACTTTTACACCTAAATATGATCAGGATTTACTAGCAGACCCTAATATATTTACCATAACTTATGACTTACAAATTGTAACCTTAAGCCTTTTGCCATTAAAAGAACATTGAACATTGAGAATGTTATTGGGTACCATATAATGTCCTGTATTAGGACACCTATTATGTGAATATTTCTCAATAGGCCATACTAGTGCATATCATCTTGCAACTTAGATTTCATTCTAAGCTAGTAATTATTCTGTTGACAAATCTTAGTGTTTTATAGTATTGTCTAAGTTATCTTGATGTATTTAATTTAATAGCTATTGCTTTTGTTTCTATTTTAGTTATATATGTGCAATGTTTAATGAGTAGAAAGACAACTTTTGTGGCAAAATTCCAAATTTACCGATTGCCAAAATGATACAGTACAAATATCTCACTGATAGTTGTAGAATGATTTCAATAAAATTTATATTTAATGAAGTAATTGAGTAATGAATCGAATTATGTAAAATAATAAAAAAATAATTAATTCAGAGGGAAATAAAACGTTAGCACAAATAATTAACTTTTACCAACAAAAATGTAAAAATGATGAAGTGTAATGTATCGAATACTGTGTAATGTACTACAGTACATGTATAGTACGCTGTTTTATAATATAAATAATTTATATTGTCGTTTAAATATGTGATCTGTAAAGGTCATGCGTTGATACTTCTATTAAGTCGGGTAATATTACGATTTTCTCATTTTATTTCAACATTCCATAAAAATTATACGACTTAATTAAAAATTTCATTAATTTAAATTCTACTTTAAGTAAAATTCTTTTCATTCATTGTTTTAAACAATTTTCTGAAAGAAAACTTTTTTTAACTAAATACCCAACATAAAATTTTAATTGTGCAGATGCTACATAATAGTAAATGACCATTCATTAAATTGAAACAATTTAATACAGTTTTAAATACTATGAATTTAAATGTATTATTATTATAAATGAGGTAAAACTAATTATAAAAAATAAACGTTTGAAAATTTAAAAAATTTCACTATTTATTTTTGAAGTCGATAAATCGAGTAATCTTTATATTTTAAACAAGATTGTTTTAAAATATTTTATTTTTAGAGTATTTTTAGTCGTTTAAAAAGATTTTATCAAAATTAAAATTGTGCTTATGGATACTGAATCATATTCCTGCAAGTCCAATGAAATACTGGCAAATTTTATTGCTAAATACCTATATCTCGTAGTTGTGAGTGTTTCTGAACAAGTGATAAATAGAAAAAAAGTGTAATTTGTTATAATTATATATCATTTCTGAGTAAAAAAATATGTTATTGTGAGTACTTTGAATAAGACGGGTCTTTAAAATTACAATTGTGTTTATCAATGAATTTTAAAACTAAAAGTTTCAAGAATTGCTAAATTTTCAACAAAAAAAAAACGTGTTTAATTATAGTTGTATAATTACAGTACATTTTGTATTTCAAGTGTAATTTATTAAATATACTAACCCCCTTTTTGTCGTTAAATAATATTTTTTTCCTATAATATTAAACAAATCAAAAAGCGTCTACAAAATTTTATAAGTAAAGAATCGCCCAATAAAGCAAAAATAAACAATTTTTGCTACAAAAATACTTTCTTGGTAAATAATGGAAATATTCCTGAACTGTTGTGTCCTTCATATCTATAATTAAAGTTTTTGAAGTGTACTACATTATAGAAAAATTCATCTCAACGATTGTTCTCTTATGAGAAATCGGTCGTTAAAGTAATACATATGGCAATTGAAAGAAAAACCGCTATTTAATTAAGCAAATAATTTAACAAGTTTTTAATATTTGAGTGAAATTTAGTAGATTTGCATCAAAACGTTTTTTATGATAATGATATTCATTGTTCAATGTAATCTATATTTATACCAACTATAGCAACCCTACTGAGCTAGTCTTTTTACTATTTAATGAATAATGGTTAAAATAAAATTATGACTGTTTGATAATAATTTTTATATTATTTTTTTTTTTGAAATATTAGCATTTGATGATTGGGTAGTATTGGCAACTCTTTATTTTTTCATAATGCACAGATAAGAATTTCTTTACGTTACGCAACCCGTTCGCTTATAACTAAAAATTATAGCAACGCAAAAAGTAACATTGGTTATCGACATGTTAAAATTTTATTTAGATAATTTTTCATTTAATAGTTTAAAAAAATAATAATAGGCTCTCAGTTAACTTTCAAAAGTTGGCCTTAAAATCTACACTTAGGAATAATACTTTATTACAATTAACTTTACATTTAAATTGGTTTATAAAAATAAATTCGCATATATTTTTAACAAAATCATATTTAAGAAGAAATGGGGAATAGTATACTTACAAAATTACATTGTATATGTACATCTTATTATACAGAGTGTTGAAAAAATAAGGAAGAAGGTAATTATTACAAACAACGATAACAACAGAAACCCATTTCTTTACTTAGTAAACACTATATAAAAAAACGCTTTTCTTGGAAGATTACTTAGTAAATACCGATTTTCAAAAATAATTTTTCTTAACAAAACTATTGGTCGCGTAATTTTCAGAAAAATTGTTGCAAAGGTCGGGAAATATTTTCCGCCCAGATACATTTCTGAGATATCAAATGAAAAATAATTAAATACATACATCATTGTATCATTAAATACAATACTAATACATTCAATACATTTTACCGTTCTGTGGTTTTATTTAAGTCCACGCACATGCTTTTAATGTATTTTTATTAATGCATTTTAAAGTATTTGCTTATTAATACACATGTATATATATTTTTTTATGTCCTTTAACTTAATTTATTTTGTAAATTCCAATGATTTAACTACGAATATACTAAATCATTTTATTGAATATTATATAAAATATTCATATGCTCCAAAATATTTGTTTGTAATATTTAATTGTTTGTGAGGTTAATGTTTGTTATATTTTTTATCTACGAATTTGTTTTATTATATACAACCTTATTTATTTATTTTTGCTTTATTTTCTGAACATGGTTCAATTAGTCATTAATAAAATTTTAAGATTAAACATTTTAATTTGAGACGACAAAATTTGATAATTTTCCATTATTTAATGGATAATTGTGAAATAAATAATAAAAAAGTAACAACATAATATGTTTTTTTCCAAACAAATTATGTATTAAATACATTACTAGGTTCTGTCTAACTGGAGCCCTACGGGATTCATGTATCTGCAGTGCGTAGAACCTGTGGCCAGTCCATACGGGTAGATTCCGGTAAGATTACAGGGCTAGCTGGATATGATAAATGTTTTAAAGAAATAGTATTACTTTAGTATAAGTATAACAAGAAATATAAAATGTGTAAAATATATTGGATATAACGCTATCATTTATTGACTGAGGTTTTCATAATAATTTTATATTTATCAAATTTTAAAAACTTTCTTTGATATCAATTTAATATCGTTAACGATATTAATAACATTATTAAACCATTTCAAAAGTATATATCATAAAAAATCACCATAAGAAATAATCCAAAAATTCCTATACCAGTATACCAGTATAATGTTTTTTACCCTTACCCCTACATAATATATACATATATTATATGTATTTAAAAAATATGTTTTAGTGTTACACTTTATTTTTCAAAAAGTTGTGATGATTTTAATACATAAATGTAAGAAAAATATCGAAAAAGAATGGGCTTTAACAGTTGTAAATTTAAAGTAATGTTTTCATGAAAAATTGTATTTTTTATTTTTTGCCATTTTATTGAAATAATTAGTTTGTGAATTAAATTTTTTAAAAATCACTTATTTTCAGCTTTTTATTTACAAAATTATGTCCCATGGAAATTTTTAAAAACAAAAATTACTACTTTTATCTATTAATTATTTAACTATCATAAGCTTTTATAAAAATTCTAAAATACATATTAAGCTCTTAAATTTATTTCAAATAACCTTACTGATTATTATTTGCAATAACACAAATAAAATTGTGCTCATAATTTTAAATTAAGCTTTTAGAGTAAAGTTGATAGGTCTGAAGTTCCCAAGGGTGAAATTGTACGTTAATTAAATATTCAAAAATAATGTTAACAGAATTTGTAATTTCGATCTTAAATGAGAAATACTACATCCAAATAGTTATGTCAATAATAACTATCTATTGCTATTTAATATTATTAATCACGAACTTAATAGTTATAATAAGATCATTGTGAGTACCAAAATAATTCATAATTATCCTAATATGCCTGTGATTAATGCCAATTGAATGTCAAAGGTTCCAAAAGGATAATATTGTTTTCATTTCAGGGCGTATGGTCGTATATTATGCGTATGCTGTCCTAGAAAAGTTCGGAGAAAATATAGGAGACCTTTACGTTATCGTTCCAGTCAGGTAAGTACTAATAGTTAGCTATTTCTTTACTGAGCATAAAAGTAATAATATTGTTATTAATTATTTTAACAAAATTTCATGCGATAAAACATTACACTATATTTATTTGGGAAACTATCAAACCACCTAAATTGAACAATAAGGTAGTTATTTTGATACACTTTTTTTTTAATAAAAGAGAAATATTTGTTTTTATTATACTTGACAAATTTAATTTCAAAAAAAATATATAAATTAAATTTGGATCACTTAAAAAATACAAATAATTTATCAACCATGAGATAAGTCATAAAATTTTTAATTGCAATTATAATAAAAATTCGTATTTACAATAGATAATGTCAAGTTAAAAATTAATTTATTTCATCCAATTTTAAAATTTTCTTTTATTTCTAAGAGGAAAATGTATTATTGTAAGGAACTGACTCTAAATTAGACGTATGCTATTAGCTATTTGTTATATGATCGTTACGGGAATAAAAGAAATACCAAAATTGGAAAATATTTAGAACTCCTTTCACTCGAATGGTAATCGACTTAACAGGCTTTAGGTACAACCGGACTTACGTGAAATAGAACTTACACGATATAATGTGCACAATGGACCTATTGGTCTGATTGAATGAACGCCTAAAGAGCCCACCTTATAACAAACTAAAACTAACTACGGTCAATAAATTTCCTAAGTTCAAATACTTCAAAAACACCAAGTTAAAGTATCATGATGATATACTGTTTTTGGAATTATTTAGTTAATTATTTTTATTTTTAACTTGATATTCATATAGCGTTAAGACTTTTCATACGCAATTATTTTTAATAAAATTAATGATTATTTAAGAATTAAAAAAATTTCAATAGTTGAAATTTATTCATAGCATAAATTATGAAGTTTTTCATATATATTTTTAATAGTTTACATTTTTTTCATTAAATAAATGAGAATACATATTATTTTTTGTAAAATAACTATAAGTAATTTAGCATTGTATCGTTCTGTTTAATTCATCTTTTTTTTTATTTAAGTATAACGTATAAGTGTAATATATAAAACCCTTATGAATAAAAATATCGAGGAATCAATACACACAACTCTTATAGTACATATATTAACCAAAGGGTTCATATTTTATCATAATTGCATAAATTTAGGATTCGATGGCATAAAATATTATTTTTGACATTTAATTTCAAGTTTTATACAAACCTATGGTAACCATTGCGATAAGTATTTTTAAAACTTCACCCTATTAAGTTTTAGGTTTAGATTGTAGATATAAATATTTAATAATTATTCTCTATAATTACTATAGATAAATATTTTTATTAATCAATTAATATCGGGAGATTATATATTCTTGTAATTAGATTAAATTTAAGTTGGCCCAAAAAAGTATGTGTATTTATAAAGTGGACCTTAATGTTGAATATAATTTAAGTTTTTCACTCTAACTAAATTAACTAACGCCGTATTCATAACTATATGAAGAATTATATACAACAATAATAATTAAAATATTTTAGTGAAAATTAGATAAGATAACTAGAAGTAATTATTTAAGAACATTTTATTAAAATATAATACAGTGCTTGCTAGCATTTCTAATAAATCTAAAAGCATGTAAATATTTCAACGAACTCCTAATTCCTTGACTCAATACATTAGTAAACAAACGAAAAGTATTCATTAATGTATAGGAATTGATTTAAATTATTTATTCCTGGAAGAATTACAGGGTAGGTAAAAGCTGATTATTTTTAGCTGACATTTGAACCTAATATACAAGCAAATATAGTGAACAATTGTGGTTGTTACACAGAACGCGGTTTATGCAAGTCGCTAATAACAGTTTGGAAACTATGTGAGTTTCACTACTGTATTCAAACAAAATTGGTGACGGCGAGATTGGTTTCCACTAATTTTCATTTCCTGTGACTTTTTTCGCCGTATAGGAAAATATATATATATATAATACATAAGATGTAATAATGTAATCAAGTGGAATATGAGTGACTCGATACGAGCGGTGGCCCGGAAACGATTTGTGAGAGAACCTGCTGCTTGAACTCGCTTGCAATGGCAGTAGTCTCCAGCTCTGTCTTCAGTGTTTACCTCGATAGGAAAACACCTGCTAAGTAATATATTGCGCCAAGTTAATATCAGATAAACGTGCGAGGATATGAAGTTTCGTGATAAAAAGGCGATATTACTGTATTTTTAAAATGTGAAAAATGTCTGCGTAAAATGCATTTTACTTATTATGTGGAGGATTAAGAGTTAAAACACTCGTGTTTACCCAAAACATTTCATACAAAAAATAGGAACATTTTTTTGTGCGTTAAGTGCTGTTTATTTTCACAAACAGCAATATGGATTATTTTATATACTGAAAAAAAAAGAAAAATTTTCCCCAAAATATTTTCACACAACTCGTTAATAATATAGCGTTTAATGTCCTTTTAAGACGAATCGAGTCGACAGAAATCTTTTATGTGATACATTTTTCATAAAAATGAAAACAGCATCTTATAACAAACGTGTTTGAAAGAGCATCTCTATGAGAACGCTTATTATAAGTGATATTACAATAAGTTATGTCTTTAGTAATAAACGCCGACAAAAGATCTCTTGTTACAATTACAAAAATAAAACACAATGTAGGTCTCAACTTATTCTCTCCACGTGGTTCTTAAAAAACACGAATTCAGTCATTAGAAGAAAAGAAACAAGAAGAAACAAATTTTAAAAATCTTGTTAAAAATTACTTTTTGTAAATCCTACTTTATAATATACATCGTCATACACTAATGAGTTTACATAGTTTTGAAAGATGATGCTGAGGTTTCAGACTATTTTTTGAACTATATGTAATAAAAAGTATAATAAGATAAATAAAAAATTTTATTAAAAAGTGTATACAAATATTCTATTGTTCATAGTAGCGTTGTAAGATAAACAAAAAATCATAAAACAACTATTTATTTTACAAAAATTGAGGTTCCCATTTCATGAAAAAGTTTTCTTGCTAGCTTATTTATTCATTTATTATTCGTTACTAAATACCCTCTGTATTATTTATACTTCACGTATTATATTATATTAATTGAAATTTTCTATTAAATATTATTTTTTAAATAACAAATGACTAATAAAATCATTAATCAAAAAAATGCTCAAGAAATCAAATTGTTAAAATTTATATTAAAATTATTAATAAACTTTTGATAGAAGAATTTAGAAATTCAACGTTATAATTTATTTAATGTTATTTGAAAAACAAAAATAATTATGAGTATATAATTGTTTTTATTTTGTGATTCAGTATTCTATTATTTTAGATAAGATATCAGGAAAATAAATATAAAATTATATTAATGTTTTTTACATTAACGACAATGGAAAATTCATATCAAATATAGCTGTTATTTAAATATAATAGCATGATTTTTGTTTTTACTTTAGACGATGTCTTGAACTATATATCTAGAGGAGCACTTCTCAGTCTTTTATAGAAAATACTACCTATAGATCTTGTTTACTTTCCATGTATCAGTTGGTCAAATCAAGAGTAATTCTAGGGATGAATAGTTTAGGAGTAAATGCCCTTCTTCATAAAGAATAATGAAAATTCATTTTGAAGAAGATGAATATACCTAATTACCTTTTTTTATACCTAAAATCAAAAATATATACTTTGTATGGATTGTTTAATTGTAAACGACAAAGTAATAAAAATATTTGATTGTATATAAATTTTAATAATAATATTAAGTTTTTTAAGTGCCATTATCTTTACGCACCAGCTACGACCATTCCTTGTATCACTGGTGGTATGTGTAGGTGTTAAAGAACGGTGATCTAGGGATTAAATAATTTTTTATTTATACTCTCTAACAGGGTTTGTATTTTGTTTTAGTACTTTTTCATTTTCTATGAAACATTATTGCTTCATCACTTTACTACTAAATAAATTAGCACTTAATTTTTCTAAGAAAAGCTATTCAAATAGAACCGTAAATCATAAAAATTAATTTCCTATTTATAAAACTAGAAAATAATAAGTTTATGTATTGAAATAAAGTTAGTTTTAATTTATGTAATCAGTTGTCAATCAATTTATATAAGGTGTCCCATACGATGACACCTTACCTAACCTAACAATTTTAAAAATATTTTACTAGTGCTATAAATTGATAAGACTACAATGATAATATGTATATTTAACTATCCCAAGTTTATCTATTTGATAGTACTAATTTAACCAATTTCAAAAAGTAGAGATGATAAATTCATCTCTACTTTTTTCATCGTTTAAAAATAATGATGGACCCATAATAACTATTGGACTAGAATTTCTGAATTAATAAATATTTTTACACCTAGACGAGAGGAAAATAAATTCTAATCATGTAACTCTTTGACAGTTAAATTATCCAATACTTCCCTAATCATACTTAACCTAACGTGAATACAGCAAAATTGCATATTCGTGGAGTGTTCTATAATACTATATTACGGTGTTGTTTTAAAATGATTCTAAGCCAGTAGCCCAACACAATTTTAGTTAATCAGATTACCACCTATATAATCTAACATAGACCGTTTCGTTGGTCAGACATTGGCAAAATTAAATCCTTTCTCCACCTTTGCTAGCTAGCGCTACCAGCTCACATATGGTTTGTGGGACACAATTCTCTCATATAATCACATCGCGTACACGTGAGTTGATTGTAATTTCCATATACAAAGGCATTTCGTGCCAAGAATACGTACACACAGACACACGAGCTGATTGATACCATTACCTTGACATAATAAACGCTTTATACATTGACACCGATCTCAATGTACGTACGTTTTATTTCATTCCTTAAATAGCTAACGCAATTCAGATGATAATCTGTCGAATTCATATACTTAATGATACAACCATCCGATTATATCCTTTCATATGTAAAATAAATATAATTTCACGCCATTTTATTAAATATACACATTA